GAGAGAGAGAGAGAAAGATTTTTAAGGAAAAATTTCAAATACCCATAAGAGATGAACAATTTCACACTTGCCCATATATTTTTGCAAAGTACCTATGAAAAAACACGAGTCTTGAGTTGGAATAGATGCAAATGGGCAAAATGTTAAGTACTTCATCTGTAATGCGTAATTTTTGATAAATTGCTCTGTTTTTTTGGGCTAACAGATCTAGTGGGGTCTTCATTGAGTCTTTTTTAAGATGTATTATGAAGATGTCCCTAGCTGGGCATACCTTGTATAGCATTTGTCATATTTCAAGGTTATAGATTTAACTTTTTTCATATGCAAATTAACTTCTCTTTATATGCGTAGGGAGGACACTGACATGGAGGTACTGGTTGTTGGTTGAGGATGTATTCTAGCTTTGGGATATATTATAGAAATCCTTCCTGAATTTTAAGCATCGCTGCATGTATTCTTGTTAATAATGTGCTACTTTTCAAAATAAACAAAAAAATAAACAAAATAATGTGCTACTTTTCAAAATAAACAAAAAAATTGTCAGCGTTGCCTTCAAGAAAAAGTAAAAAAGTAAGAAGAATTTTTTGATTCACTTCCCTTTGACATTGATGAATTAGGGATTTCCATACTCTGCTTCGGCTTTGCTGAATATGTACTTCATTTCCAGAAAAATTATTGACATGTTTTTAGAAAGTAAACTATTGGATGATGACACTTAGGACTTACATGTGATGCACACATGTCAGTGGCCAGATAACCTTCGATAAACATTTCTGCACCTGGGTTGAAGTTCAGTTTCTCTAGGAAGGTAAAATCTGTTTTCGCTGATATCTTGTCTCCTGCATTGGGAACTTGAGGGCCTTAATCTGCTAGAGAACAGACAAAATCTTCTCTCTCTTCCATACCAGTGACAGGATTTTATTATCTTGTCCCATCGTTTCCAATTTGACTTTCACCAATCAGTTTTCCTTTGGTAAATTGTAGTGGTTAAACTTTCTTGAGGATGTATCACACAATTGATGCAATAGTTTGTAATGTTGAATATTTTTCTCTTGAACCTGTGCGTAGGATTTGGAAGCTTTTATTTCCTTGAATTGTGGATGGTGTCAAGTGTTCTAGATCAGTGTTAAGTTTTTCATGGATTCTCAGTTACATCTTGTATGCATGACTTTGCTTATCTGCAGCCTCTTTGTTCTTCAGATTAGGTGAAGCTATTGACAGGGCACTCCTTAATCATCTTTTGAGGATGTTTACCTCTCTGGGGATATACACTGAGAGCTTTGAGAAGCCCTTCCTTGAGTGTACATCTGAGTTCTACGCTTCTGAAGGTGTGAAATACATGCAGCAATCAGACGTTCCAGATTACTTAAAGCATGTGGAGGTGATTTACTGTGATGACAAAAACGTTCTTGCTTGTCTTCTTCGATTTTTTACTTTTTGATAGTGTAACTGAAATCTTGTTTGATAATCTTATTACTTTGATAGCTCAAGCAATTGAGGTGACATACATTTGCAGTTAAGGTTGCATGAAGAACACGAAAGATGCTTTGTGTACTTGGATGCGGCGACTAGAAAGCCACTGGTGTTGACTGCTGAGCGGCAGCTTCTTGTGAACCATACTGCAGCGATCCTTGATAAGGTGGTCTCTCTCTCTCTCTCTCTTTGTGGCTTTCATTGAAATAGTCTCTTTTGGATGGTCGTAAATTTTTGCTACAACAGAGAAGCTTTCCTGGGCCACTTATAAGTGGGATATAATTGACCTTTTTGAACAGGGATTTACTTTGCTTATGGATGCGAATCGGATTCCAGATCTTCACAGAATGTACGTGCTGTTTGCAAAGGTTCATGCCCTTGAATTACTACGTCATGCTCTTAGTTCGTATATCAGGAGTACTGGGCAAAGTATTGTTATGGATGAAGAGAAAGACAAAGATATGGTCTCCTGTCTTTTGGAATTTAAGGCTCGTCTTGATACAATATGGGAACAAAGCTTTAACTATAACGACGTGTTCTCTAACACCATAAAAGATGCATTTGAGCATCTCATTAATCTCCGCCAGGTTAGTATGTCATAGGATTCTTTTAATCTTTACAGCTAATTTATACAGGCAGGCATCATGTTCTGAATTTGTCATGTTTTTCTTGCATGTGTTTACAAACTTGAGTAAGAGTGCATTGCACGAATATCATAAAATACAAATGATAAAATACTAACATAGAAGAGCATGCTACAGCATAGTTCTCTTTGATATCATCAGCTTGCTCCCTTACTCTTGTTTCTTGTTGAAGAGCAATAAGACATGCTTCTCCTTGTTACTGATAGTTTCTTGTTCCATCTATGATACTATGATTTTGCTCGTTCCAATAATCCAGTGCAAAATTCCAATAAATCTTGCTTCGTTCTGCAGAACCGGCCTGCTGAGCTAATTGCAAAGTTCCTGGATGAGAAACTTCGTGCTGGAAATAAGGGAACATCAGAAGAGGAGTTAGAGGGTACCCTAGACAAGGTTCTGGTTCTTTTCAGATTTATCCAAGTAAGAAGCATCCACTTCCAATAATTCCCAGCTTACCTTGAGTCATCCACATTTATGATTAATATGCTATCTATTTTAGTTTCCTCTTCTTTTTTTCTGGGCATACTAATTAGGTCTTATAGCGCTTGCAATCATGCAACTTAATCATAATAACTCTTTGCTGTCTCTCTCAACTATTCAGGGGAAAGATGTATTTGAAGCATTCTACAAGAAAGATCTTGCGAAGAGGTTACTACTGGGGAAGAGTGCATCTATCGATGCTGAGAAGTCTATGATCTCCAAGGTTTAGGATTGTTTTTTATTAATTGCATGCAGCTTAATTTTGTACGACTGCATATTGGCAAATCCTGCATTTTTACTGGCATGGTTTGCTGATTCATTCCTTGTCATTCTGTTTCAGCTCAAAACTGAATGTGGGAGCCAATTTACAAATAAACTGGAAGGAATGTTTAAGGTGTGTTTGTATTCTCTCATCATGAGATGCTTCATTACAAAATGATTGTCTTGATGATGGTTAATTTGGGTTATCCATATTTTTCAAATCCATTTTCTCAGTTGTTTACTATGTGGGTGGTAAGTAGCTGTTGAAAGTGATGTTATCATGCCTAGAAGTATGTTCTGGTCTGGTATGAGTGTGTGTGTTCATTACAAGTTTCACAGTTCATGTGGCAAATACATGTGGACAATAAACAAGAACAAGCAGGGAGGGAGGGTCTTACTCGTTATTGTAGTACTTCCTTTCCATGTTCACTAGACTGATCCCAGTGAGTTGCTTGAAGGGTGATCTAGGAGAACTTGCTTGAGGTTGATCGTTAAAAAGAAATTGGGTTTTTAGTTTGATGTGGTCTCTATTCAATCTTATGATGTAATTCTTTTCAGGCACATACAAAGTGTGTTTTTATTTATTTTTTTTTATTTTTTTTGAGGTTGATGAGGTTACATCCCCAAAATTCGGGGTCCTAAATATACTTCTAGATATTGAATGGAGAAAATGCTCCAGCAGGAGCATAGAATCTTTTGGATATTTATTATAGGGCAAGTTCTGGTGTCGGACTCAAGTCTAGTCTCATGTGCTCTCTTTATGCACGGGTTTCTTCCCCATGTTCTAGATGGTGCTTGTTTCCAATGAACTTGATACATCATTTATGTTCGTTCAGATGTTCTAAGAACTAGTGGTGACGAGAGAGAAGGGGAAGTACAGGGCAGTTTACAGCTGCTCACAATGAGATACTGGTGAGCAGAAGATGATAGGGGGTGCTAGTTTCTTTCCTTTATAGATTATTGATTTCAAAAGAATTTCAACATGTTGCACGGTGCAACCAATTGGTAACTGATAAAATATTAAAGTAAAGCAAAATAAAGTAAGAAAATTTCAAACGATTAAAAAAAATGAAAATTATGGTTGAAAAAGAAGAAACCCCTTTTAAAAGTGAGTCCATTAACTTCTTTTTTATGCTTTTGGTCCAAGGAAATTAATGCCATTCAAACAAACTTCCCTTGTGCCTTTACCTCACTTACATGTTGCTTTGCAATTTGTTTGCTTTAGATCCTGAGTGCTTGGTTCTCAGATAGTGGGTAATGTGTGGCATTTTTTATGCATGGACACGGTTGAATGGCCTGCCTGTTATCTCATGTTCATGTTGTTGGAGGAATGTACTTGTAATTTGAAGCCTGCGAGCTTGTGATTCATTATTTTATTTGTTTTTTGATGGTGGCTTTGACAGGATATTGAATTGTCAAAGGAGATAAATGAATCCTTTAAGCAGTCTTCACAGGCCAGGACAAAACTTCCTTCTGGGATTGAAATGAGCGTGCATGTCTTAACGACTGGGTGAGCTTCCTTGTGTACAAGCGAGAGAAATACCATTTTTTTTGCCAGTTTCTTTAACTAGTCCAAATCACTTGCACACATGATGTGTAATGACTATCTTAGTACAAACTTTTCTGCAGATACTGGCCTACATATCCACCAATGGATGTTAGACTTCCTCACGAACTAAATGTTTATCAGGTTCAGTTTCATTTGGGTGATTAACTAGGCATCATTTCTCTCTTGACATCCTGTATTGTCCTCTCAAGCAATTAATTTTATATTTGCGTATCTTATGATAGGACATTTTCAAGGAGTTTTACCTGAGCAAATATAGTGGAAGACGCTTAATGTGGCAAAATTCCTTGGGTCATTGTGTTCTAAAAGCAGAGTTTCCGAAAGGAAAAAAGGAGCTGGCTGTGTCCCTTTTTCAGGTGAGTGGTATGGTGCCTTCTTTATTGTTATCTTTTTGTTTTTTCATTGATTGCTTACACAGTTGGTGGACCGATTTTATGGGGTGAAGAGCCTCCCCTCCTCTCTCTTGCTTCCCCTGGCGGAGTTGTGAAATGCTGAATCACAGGATACTAATTGAGCAGGATGCCTATGCAGTTGCCAGCTGCGCTGTTACAAATTAATGGATGCTACTTGTTTTGTATATTTTCCCCTTTCATTTCCAATCTTAATTTTTCCCTTTTTGATTGGACTAGACGGTTGTGTTGATGCTGTTCAATGATACTTCCAAGCTCAGCTTTCAAGATATCAAGGATGCCACTTGCATTGAGGATAAAGAGTTGCGGAGAACATTGCAGTCTCTTGCCTGTGGCAAAGTTCGCGTTCTCCAAAAGGTGACTAGAATCCTCTATTAAAGTTTATGTACATTTCAGTTGTGTGATTTGATATTATAACCTGCTGGATGCAATTTCAGCTCCCAAAAGGAAGAGATGTGGAGGATGAGGACTCTTTCTTGTTCAATGAGGAATTTAGTGCACCTCTTTACCGCTTGAAGGTTTAACTCTTGTCTTTGTTAAATTGGGCGTATTGAAATGTGCTGGCAGAATGCTTAATCATTTTGGGTATCAGGTTAATGCAATTCAAATGAAAGAGACTGTTGAAGAGAACACAACTACCACTGAAAGAGTATTTCAAGATCGCCAATATCAGGTGTGCCCTTTGTTTCACAAGAACAATCCAATCCAACCTCATTAAAGCTCTAAGTCACTAATTTTCTTTTGTCTTCTTCTTTTTTGTAAAGACATAGCTTCAAATCTTAGGCTACCTGCAGATATTTATAGAACAATGTCAAATTTTCTGGTTATATATATCTTTAAATGATAAAATGAGATGTCAAAATTTTCTGAGTATACATATATTTGTTGCATTTTTTATGATAAAATGATCTATGGTTGGCTTGGCAGGTTGATGCTGCTATAGTTCGCATCATGAAGACCCGGAAAGTGTTGAGCCACACCCTTTTGATAACCGAGCTCTTTCAGCAGGTGCCCAATCATATGTGCATTTTGTTCTCTTATATCTATTGCCTCATTTGACTTGGTGAGACGGATTGAAGCCTCACCTCTTGGAGTGGTGATGTGATTATCCCTTTCCCCAAAGAGTGACAAATGACCAAATCATTTTTTAGAACTTGGGATAAAGATTTATTCCCTTTTTTCAAGTCTTGCTCGAGTCTCTTTCTCTCTCTCTCTCTCTCTCTCTCTTACTATATATATATATATATATATATA